CATCGATGCCGAACCTCTTTTAGATATTTCAATATAATATTAAAATTCAATTTATGTCAACTAAAAGAAATTTCTTATAGGTATACAAAAACTTAACTTATTTCTGTTCAAAAACACATTTTTCCTTCCAGTTCACGATTGAGTATAGTAATCATTTTTTCAGTATTGAGAGTATATAGCTCTTATATGGCTCTGGGTTTTTTTAATGATTTTTGATATTGAAAAAAGCTGTGTCCCCATATATGTACACATAACTTTTTTCACTATTTTATGAAACATAGATTATATCATAATTATTGGTCTTAAATACTCAGAAACTGGAATATCACCTCAAAACTTTCGTACTGTAGAAAAAGGTTCATTTAAAACTAATTGTTATAATATAAAATTTTTTCGCTCTTTAATTTTGTAATTTTCTCTTGAGCCTAGCATACACTATAATAATTTCCATTATTTCTTATTTTCAGTAATTTTGTTTTCATATTTTTATTATATTATTAATTTTCATTATACAGAGTGTCGGCGACTCAATGGTATTCCCGAAGCAGGGTGATAGAATACGTGCAGACGAACAAAAAACACCTAGTGACATTTTTCTTACTGGACCCTTGTTCTCGAGTTATGGGGCCTCAAAGTTGGAACATGCAAAAACCGGTTTATTTTCACACTTTTATTTATAGCTCGGGAAATGTGACAGGTAAATCCAATCTTGTAGACTCGTTTAATAGCTAATGAAATCCTCATTCTAACGGTATACCAGCGGCTGCAAAGATTTTTTTTAGTTTCAGAGATATTCAAGTGAAAACTCAAAATTTGTTAAAAATTTTTTTCCTAAATTTTTGTTTAACCGTCATTTACTCATAATTCCACGTTATCAACCTATCATTTTACAGAAAGACGAGCCCTATATTCTGACCTTCATTTTGATATAACATAATGTGGAAAAAATTTTAGAAATAACATGTTTATCAGGCGAAAATTGAGGCCAAAACCATAGAAAATTAACTAAAACAAAGTATGTTTCAAACAAAAACAAATTTGTTAATCTTTATTACGCAATGTTTTGCATTATTAACATGTACTTTTTCTTTTTCAAAATGAAAGAGATTTGCATTACCTTTATTTCTCCACAAAATATTTCCAAAAGTTTCAGAAATATCGTGTCTACGAGGATCAAATTTATAAAAAACCAAAAAAAAGTAGATTTTTCGCGATAAATTAGTTATAATCCAAGTAATGTTCACCCTCTGATCTTCTGTGTATTTTGATATAATTCAAAAATTCAATGATTGATCTTCAGGTATAGTTAATGTGGAAAATTTTAAAAAAAGTCTTTGCAGCCGCTGGTATACCGTTAGAATGAGGATTTCATTGGCTATAAAACGTGTCTACAAGATTGGATTTACCTGTCACATTTCCCGAGCTATAAATAAAAGTGTGAAAATAAACCGGTTTTTGCTTGTTCCAACTTTGAGGCCCCATAACTCGAGAACAAGGGCCCAGTAAGAAAAATGTCACTAGGTGTTTTTTGTTCCACTGCATGTATTCTATCACCTTGCTTCTGGAATACCATTGAGTCCCGGACACCCTGTATATTATATTATATTATTTATTTTTATTATATTATTATTTTTATTAAATTATTAATTTTAGTAAAAAATTAAGGGTTAATTTATTTTAATCGGTTTTTTTCATTAATGAATTCTTTTAAACAAATATTAAACTAATTAGCCATCACATGTTTGTTCGATAGTGTTTCTTCCAACAACATTCTATAGCGCTTGTGCTTAAATTAATATAAGCCTTTTTTGAAGTACAGCAATCCCTTCTATATCGTAACCTCTTACTATATAATTTCGATATATGTAAATTTTATTTTTCCTACCTATTTTCATTTAATGTAATTTTTACCTGGTTTTACGTAATTTTAAAATAATTTAATCTATTTTTTTTTTAATTTAAATTTCTTTCTTTACCAACAGACAACTTACTAGTTTAGGCAAATATCAAGTACATACATATTAGTCATATTAGTTTAGTTGGACCCCCTATAATGTAATTTCACTTAACGTAAAAATTTTTCGGTCCTAAAAATTACGTTATAGGAGGGATTGCTGTAGATGTTTTGATTTAACCCAACTATTTGTGGATAGTTATAATATTATTATAATGCTATTATAATTTATTTATAAGGGGCGTCAGGATCTTATCATAGTAGAGAGAGCTCAATTCCTTCGAGTAATCATTTTGAACTCGAAAACATTGGGATTTTAAATTGAGTTGGTTTCTTCCTTGTCGATATGCAATACAGAGTTATCTTTCGTTCGTCAGTGTCATCGCCCTTTTTAGCGAATTCGGTGATTCCCCAAAGCAGTCATCTGGGACCATTGGTTTTCATCTTCGCTGTTAATGATGTTGCGTCTGTTTTGAGCTGCACTGAACTGTTAATTTATGCTGGTGATATAAAGATTTTTGGGTTAAGTTTTTAACAAAACTAAACATCAACCCCACAAGGTAGGGTTGGTGTTAAGTTTTGTTAAACGCTGGTCTAAACTCTTTAGATCCTTGAATCGACCTTGCATTTTGAAGCTCCTTCAATCATCTCTTGTTTGTCATCATCTGGAATACGCTTCACAGGTGTGGTCACTTCTTTACAACATTCATATAATTAGGATTGAGTCGAATCAAAAACATTTCTTAAGATTTGCATTTCGTCATTTTCCTTTGGAGGACCCTGTTATTCTCCCACCATGTGAAAATAGCCTTAAACTGATTAGCTTATCAACGTTAAGTAAGATCGCTTATCAATCTGAGATCGCGAATGTGAGGTTCGTCATTCAACTTAGAATAACCGGAAAATTTCGAATTTACTTAACTGGTACACTGTTTACAAGCATAAAAAAATTAAACTGGTTCAAATATTTAAGTATTTGATTTATAAAACAGTCGCTTTCCACTTCTCGAAACTGTGTATTTTTCGCATATGCATAAGTTTGGTTTTTGGATGCGTGACATACGCCCGCAGAACATGCACTCTGTTTTCAACACTTTCTTACTGATTTAAATCAATATTTGTAACAAAATTATAAGAATTAAATTTTACAATTTTCAAAAATCGTAGCACAAGATCAAAATGTACATCGTAACGGGGCTGCGTTCCGTAAGTGCCCAAGGGCCGCATGTTTGAAGTGTTTTCAGATGTACATTTGGATTTTGTTTACTTTGACCTCTTAAATATTTTTTACTGCTATTATTGCCAGCCATAAATACTAAATTATCAAATAGTGTTTATTACAGAATACTATTTAAGAATATAAACACATTTTTAAAAAAATAAATTTCATTTATAAACTTAAAAAATCGTAGAAATAATAATTTTGGAATTACATTTTCAAATGGTTAATTTTGATTAAACTTTAACTAATTTAAATTTCCTTTTCGATGTTTTTCATATTTCAATACTTTCAATACTTTCTCCCACTTAACCAATAACTCAAAATTTTATCTACTCAATTGACAATTCCAATTGTTTTTAATGTCCGGGAAGTATTTTTACTTTTCCAATAAAATATAGATCTAGTCCTTTTAGCATCTATATGACATTTGTGTAGCAAAGTTATAACATTTCATTATTCATTAAATCTGGAATTATTATTCTACCTTGAAAGTAGTGAATACCATTAATTACATTAATATCATTCCTCTGATTATAATAAAAACAAATATTCTCTGGTACTGTAATTTAATATATCATCTTTTTTAGTTTCATATTCTAGTCTAATTTTAGTTTCAAGTGATTCATAAAAATTTTTTTCTTCTTCAGTTTTCTTAATTTTTATACTCTTGACAAATAATCTACAAGTTTGTGTACATATATACGAGTATCAGGCAAACAAACATTTACTTTACGTCAAAATAATTATCGACCATGAGACTTAAAAACATCAAATTTGGACTCGTCAATGTACACAACCGATTACCAAAAAAAATCAAGCTTTCAGACAAATTGTTTGGCATATTCTAAATGCCTTGCTACATTAATGGATCTATACAATTTTTCTTTTGTTTTTCTGCTGTAAGTAATATTTTTTGGTGTATGTACAATTAAATTCAGCATACCTATTAAAAATTTTTCATTCAAACAAATAAAGTCGCTATCATATCATAAAGTCGCTTCATATATATATAATATGTATGTGAATTATATGAATAATTATATATATGTATAATGTACATATATAATATGTATAATTTTTTACATACGAATTTATAAGGGCGAAATTTAGCAGTCAGATTAATGAAGCTCTGAATTTTTATTATTTACTTTTTACCGACCGTATCGTATATACAATAGGTAGGTTATGTGATGGCAACAAATTTTGCATATCGAGTTTTCGGTGGGAACGTAATTCTCCATGGTAGGGAAGTGTAAATAAACTATTTTTATTTACATAATTTAAATAATATATTATGTTACATACATTAAGTAAAATAAGAATGACATGATGATGATGGGGTAACTTCACCTTAACAATTTAATTTGAAATAATTCATATTCGCATATACGTACATATATTATAATATTCTTATCGCCGACGCAGTTCAATTCTGCGAAATTAGAAAAATGTTATCAAAACGAATCTTGTAAAAATTTCGATTTAAAATTAAGTAATTCTGAAAATACACATATATTTTGTATATATTAATAATGTACAAAATATATACTCAAATCACTCTTTTCCCGTTGTTACCTCTGGAATGTTCAAAAATTAAATTTTCGATCTCTGATTTATCGATAGTGTTTACTTAAATTTTTGCATTATACATAAAATAAGTTATATTTTACATAAAACTTTTTATTGGTCTGCCTAGCCTAATTCAGTTGAGGTGGAAAAAGTTTTATATTATAATAAAATATTTTTAGTCTATTAAAAAAAACCTATACAAATATTCTTACTAGTTGCAAAAATATTAACTACCTTATAACATTCTTATTTCAGGGAGCACAACTGATTTAACGCCATCTATACTTGGATTTTATGACACATTAAATAAAAATATAGGTTCAGATTTCAATACGCTACCATCTTCATCATTAATTACCACAAAGTTGCAGTCACATTCTCCCGTAACCACATCAAATATAAAGCTATTAAAAAATTGCGTCGCCAAAACTTCGACAAAAGAGCTAGACGAAACGACAACACGACAAGCAGTTATTGTAACGACAAATTCAATCAGTAATACAAGTAATTTGCATAATAGCTCGCCAAACGCATTTTTTAATGATGAATTTAGTTGTATAAAATCTTCTAAAACTAATATATTGGATTCATCAGCCTTGAAATTAAATACTACTTTTATACATTCACACAAACAATATAGATCATTTAAAGCTTTATCGCCTAATGTCCAAAGAATAATATCACATTCAAATACCGTTATTGAAACAGATAATAGTTTAGTCGACAGTAATAATAGCGACACGGAACGTACATCCTCCCCAGTGAATTCTAATTGTATGCGATTACCAAAACGAATTTTAGGTAAACAAAAAGTTTCTTGGATTCCTTTGACAAAAAAAACATCTAAACTTAGCAAGGCTGGAACGGATCTAGATAAAAATTCAAGCCCTAATTTTCCACAACAGTATTTGCAGACTCAAACATTTGACACAGATCTCTCATTGTCAAATTCAGTTCGAGACTTAATAAATTCCTATGAATTTAGCACTATTTCCCATAAAAAGCCAACCAATGCAAACTATAATAAATTTGATTTTCAGACTTCAAACTACAGTCAATGTGATAGAGCAAAAGATATTTTTGAAAATGAAGCAAATATACCAAATGATATATTAATTAGTACACCATTAATATTGGATTCAGATAAAAGCACTACCGCAAAAATTGAAGTGTCCCGAACAATAAGAAGTAATTATAATATAAACGAAAATTTAAAACATGAAATGGACAATGCAATGCAGTTGCCCTTTACAGAAATCGATAATAAAAATTTACAAATTAATAAAAGTCCCCTTCAATTTCAACGATCAATCAAACAAAATTTGCCAAAATTAACTTATGCAAAAGTAAAAATGCTTGATAACAAGTCATCAGTGCAATTTGAAAATTCTAATGATTTAGCAGATCCCGGAATTTTAATAAAACATGGCAATTATAATACAAATAATTCGAATGATAAAAATAACATTAAGTCAACAAATTTACTGCCAATTAAATCGCAACAACAAATAGAATCAAAACAAAAAAGTCGAGATTCAACAAAAGTTAATAAATTATTAGCAGACACTGAAAATTTAAAATGCCGCCCACTTTCATCAGTTTCAATATGTTCAACATCATCAAGCACATCAAGTTCAACAACAGGATCGTCAACATCAGCAAATGAAAACCATATCACTGAGAAATCATCTGAAGTGACTTCATATTTAGCTAGTGTTGAAAGTCTAGCAGATCATAGTGAAGGTGAATTTAATTCATCTCTGGCAAGTTCTAATAATACATTAAGTGTATTAGAAAGATCATGTTTGGAAGTCATCGATTCGGAACGCAGTTACGTAGAAGATTTACGACAAGTTATTCAAGGGTAAGATTATTAAAACACTGAAGTGCCCATGTGGCAAAAATGCAAAAATGATAAATAACTTTTGATGTTAAAACAATTTTCGGACTATAAAAGTTTCGGGTGGGATGAAGAGTTGTTTAATTTTTGTTTGAGGACTCTTCAAAAAATTAATCTTGCTAAGGCAGATATAACGATTTACATCTCGCGAAATTGGATTGCGTCATCATATTTAATATTGCTGCGGCATGTTGTAAAAAAATTCTTGAAAAACTCTACTGATTTTCCTCCTCTCAAAATTTTTTACAAAACGACTCTACAAACGACTCTACAGCTCATTTTTTTTGTCATATCGACACTAAAATATTAACCACATGCATACATATGTGTACCAACGGCTCTAAATAGAACTATTCTAAGTACACTTAGATAAAAGCTTTCCCTGCTTCTGTGAATGTAACCATGCGCATACACCTACAAATTTTTGTAAACCTAGCTTTAATATAAATTACACATAATATATAAAAAACTTCTGTTGTAAGTTGTTCAAGAGGCTTTCAAATACTGTATTTGCAGAAGCTAAGTTTCTGGAATATTATTCTGAAGTGATTTCCATTAATAAGATATCGTAAAACTTTTATTATTTATGTACTTACATATTCCTTGAAAAAATATAAGTTTCAACTGAAATTGCAATAATAATCATAAAGTTTTTGTAAAAAGAATTACAATATTTTCGCAAAATTTACATTTGATTCTTCTTACATTTGAAAATATTGCTTTTTATGGTATTGTATTTATACATACAATAATAAGCATACTATAATATTTTATAATAAATGTTGCAAATCGACATAAACTAATATCGCACACACTTTGTGGAATGTTTTTTATTGTAAGTATAAATACACTTCTTATTGGAAAGAGAAAAGTTGAATTTTAAATAGTTTAATTAAAATAAAAAAAATAAATTTGTAGCAGGACCTATTAAGAAAATTATTTCCAATATTTTATCGTTCATTTCAATCTTTTTATTTTATTGCTATATCAATATTTTTAGCAAAATGAAAATTTTTTTTGCTCTTGTGAAAACCTATATTTTTGAGATATAATGAGCCTTATTCTAGTTGTCGCGTCACTTACGTGACATTTGTCGTTGTCGCTGTTACACCTTTTGGAATGTGGTATTCTGGTTGTCGAGTGACGTGAGTGCGAGAAATAATCGACAATGAAACGTTTCAAGTGAAATTGATACATTTTAAAAAGAAATTTCGGCGAGTAAATTACAAACTAAAAAAAATTTTTAATGTATATATTTATATTTTTAAATAATAAAAAATGTCATTTGCATTCTCATTCCGGTAGTGATGAAGTTAAAAAAAAACAACAACTAAGGATCGAAAGATTTAAGATTAGCGACAGCTCTATTCCATTGAATTTGCCAAATTTTTTCTAGTAAATTAGTTGCAAACATTTTATTTTACTCACAGATTTATAAACTATTACAGACTTCCAAAGTAGGCCTTTGTATATTTATTGAATATATTCGAGGGAAAAACGAGTACTCGTAAAAGGCGTGCCCTGTCATGAAATTTCCAATTCTTCAAATATATAAATACTTTCACGCTAAAATCAAAAATTTTTTATGATTTTGTTAAATTGTTTTGTTTTAACTTGCACTTTTGATGTATTCTTCTTGTTTGTCACTTGTAAATACAAAAAACGTCGTTTTACTACATATCTCGCATCAGAACGACAACTGAAATATGTCTGAAACACATTTTCCCGCTATTCCCCGACGATTGTCACTGCGATCGCCGCTTAGAATATCAAATTCAAGTCGTAACGACAATTGTCGCTCTACTTCGACAACTAGAATAAGGCTCAATAGTGTTATCCGGAACCGTCGATATATACGATTATGAGTACAATATGTTTAATTAGACTATAAATTTTTATGCATCAACATGTCACAACGAAAGATTTAAAGTTTTACAAAAAAAATTTTAAAAATAAATAACATTTAAGTTTTGACACTAAATCTGTAGGTTTTCCAGATTAATTTTTCAAATAAGAGAACTTCAGGTTTACCCAAGAATTTTTTTATATTTTTAGATATTTGTTCAATTGGCGAGAAAAGGAACGACTAAATCCCGAAGAAATACAAGTATTATTCAGCAATATAGAGAGCATTTATGAATTCAATACGGAACTTTTAGATAGACTTATCGATGCAGGAATGGATCAAACAAAAATTTCAAAGTGTTTTATTGATTTAAATCAAAAATTTGAAGTATACACAATTTATTGGTAAGCCATTTTAGCGGTTATCACATATTGTGCAAAATGTGTTACAACTAAACAACTTTCTGATACTCTTATCATTAATTTTACACAAAATTCAAAACTATGAATGGTTTTCCTAACTTTGCTTCATAATCATTGAATTCAATTTTTGTTATTTTGAGGATTTTAAATACATACGTATATCACAAGCATTTAAATCATGAAAAAATCCTTTTCTAGAATGGTAGTATTTAAATGAATCCTATTTGATTTATACAATTTTTAAGAGCTGTTATATTTCTGTAAAAGCTCTTCTATACCCTGCACCTTCGTGAAGCGTATATTTACTTTGGTATGGAGTTTGTAACCACTTGAAGGAGTCGTCTCCCGTATGGACATGTATTTATGTTCATGCTCAGTGTAAAATTCTATACATTGATTTAGCCATGTCCTTCCGTCCAATTGCACGATAATTCAAAAACGAATAATGCAATCGACAGCAAACTTTCAAAAGTTGATTCTTTTACATGTTGAAAAAGTCAAAATCATTAAACTTGTCAGTGGTGTGTCCAATAATAGGTCACATATATCACTGAAGTTTTGGTGAAATGGATTGATAGGTTCTGGTACCTGCCATACGATCCCAAAAACTAATTTTAAATATTCAAAAAAATTATAATATCATATTCATGAAACTTGGAAGTCGAGTGTCCAATTAATCTAGTCGTGTATTAATTCGCTCGATTTATACCGACTGAAACGTTTTTATTAGTTTTCAGATATTTTTGTTGTGTTTATAACATTACTATTTACGAGTATTATGGGCAAATTATAATTTGAAGATTTTACGGTGCGTAAATCGGATGATATAAAATTCTTACACCATATATTAAATAGCATTAAATTAATAAAAATAAAGTTGGGTCAAACAAGTCAAATTGAAAGCAAGTGAAAATACTGCTTTTAAAAATAATTTAACTATGTACTACCTTAGTTTCACTCATATATGAAACTATTTTGAGGCTTGTATATAATAAGGATGAACACTTTGTGCTGTCTTTGAAATAAAGAAAAGAAAATTAAAGAGGTGTTAAAATAATGCTCGATTTTAACGGTTAATTGCGTGTATTGAGAAAAATAATTATATTTTTTAATAGCATGGAATATTATTGGAATTTATCATTAGTTTTCTACGTTTATAGAAATTTGTTTCGGAAGTATAAAGTGCCAAAATTCAAATTTGGCGATAGGCGACAATTGAGATGGAAAAAAAAAACAAAATCTTTTCAAACAAAATGAATCTATTAGTGTCTAAAAGTTATTAAAATTTCAGGCTCGCACAAACTAGGGTTTAGAAGTAAAACAATATCAAAAATTTGTAAAATACGTAGTTTAGGTAACTGTAAATTTTTACGGTCATTTTTTTTTTTTTGTTTTCAAGATCAGCGTACGATCCGCAGTAGAAGAAGCAACCCACTGCTTTTCTGCGTTCGCATAATTTTAAAAATGCTGATGGTATCACTGAAATAAATAGTTGAAAAATGGCATTTTTAGAATATTAGATAGGACGCTGAAATATTTTAAGTCCCTGTATCACAAGTGCAATCATACAATTTAGAGAAATTAAATATAAGTATAATTTTAAATTATTTTTTCTCCGTAGAAATCAAATTTATCTCCACGTTATACTTAGTTACTCGTATATTCAGCAATGATTCAACGCATATAGGTTTTCTTACGTTCACTATTTTTGGTTTGAAGTAAGAAAAATTAAAACTTAGACATGGTAAGCCGTAGACTCGCAAAATACGAAAAATTACATCCATATTGCCGCATTGCTCATTATAATCAATCAATGAGTAAGGATTTTAAATGAACATGAACTTAAATTTCAAGATAAAAAATACAAAGTTCACCTCTCTACGCATAGTTAGTTTGCTATACAACCTGTACAACATACATGAACCACATGTTTAGTATGAATATAGTAATGCCCTGCAAAAATCAATTCATATTGAAACGAGAAAAAATATCCTTTGATATTTTTTGATGAACTTTACTGAATTAGTTTTTGAGTTATCGTTGGGACTAACGAACGGACAGACGGGCAGACAAAGCTAAGTCTACTCAGAATTCGACGATGATCAAAAACACACACTTGAGTCTATATCTCAGACCAGAACTTCTTAGCGTTACAAGCGGTAAGGAAAACTTAGTATATCGAATATAAGTTCGTACGGGTATACTGGAGCTAAACATACTGATGTCATATTCACATTAGGTTCTATAAAAACTTAACATATAAACTAGATTGTAGATTGTAGATTGTAGATTCTAAGGGAACTGAGTGGGGACAGGAGCATCCCCCCAAGCCACCGCAGCCATTTTTGACTTATTGTAGCCACCCCACTCTCCCGTCTATAATATCCCCGTCCCAATCACAAAGCCGGAGATATCCCTAAGGGAGTTGGACAATAGTTCCCGAACACTTAGGGACCCATGTCCAAGACAATTGCGGCGCCGAACAGCCAGTGCCGGACAGTCGCAGAGAATGTGCACGGCGGTCTCATCGCCACCCCCACAAAATCTGCACAGGGGGGAGCCCGACTTCCCCAGCCTGTGCAGGTGGTATTTCACCGGGCAGTGCCCCGTGAAGAAATTCGCAATAGTGCGAACCCGGCTCCTGCTCATCCCCAGCAACTCGGCAGCGAATCCGCCGGAGCACGCCGGAACAAACACCTTCGCATGACGGCACCCTTTCGTGTCCCGCCAGTGACGACTGCATTCCGCCGCGAGTAGGCAGGCAAGCCTGGCCCCCACGGCGGAAGAAGGCAGACCACAGAAAGGCAGCGGCTGCACAAAGGCAGCCCCAGATCCTCTCCGCGCCAACTCATCGGCAACTTCGTTGCCCGCATGGCCACTATGGCCCGGCACCCAAATGAGCATCACTCTGTTTTCCGATGCCAATTCCATAAGTGCAGCAAGGCAGCTCCAGACCAGCTTGGATGTAACCTGAGCTGAACGGAGCGCCAGCAGTGCAGCCCTGCTGTCTGAGAACACATAGATGGTGCGGTTTCTATACCCCCTTTCCAAATTGATTCTCAGACAGATCTCTATTGCATGTATTTCGGCCTGGAACACTGTGCAATACGGGTCAAGGGTTGCATATACACGCGTGTCCGGGCGGACACCGTATACGCCCGAGCCCACACCCGACTCCGTTTTGGATCCGTCCGCATACCACACGCTCGAACCCGACCTAAGTACCGGACCACCCCGATCCCACGTCCATCGATCAGGAAACAGAACCCTGTACTTGTGGTCGAAGTTGTACCGCGGCAGACAGTTATCTGACATGGTTATCCTTAGAATCGGATCGCCCTCAATGAAGTCTCTGTGAGTTCTGTGGGCCAACTTTAGCCCTGCCCCGTCCTCGCCAGAGAGAAGTCGGTAAGTCACCAGCCGAGCTTCCTTCAATATATGGAGGTGCAGTGGCGGCAATCCGATCATCACCTCCAATGCAGCGGTGGGAGCCGTCCGCATCGCCCCGGTCACTCCCAGGCAGGCCAGCCTCTGTAGCTTTTCCAGCTTGGCCCGCACACCCGCCTGCTGAGCTTTACGGCACCATACAATCGACGCATAGGTGACGATGGGCCTAGCAAGGGCCGTATATAGCCACAGTGCTATTCTGGGACTAATTCCCCAGGTCCCCCCGATGAAGCTCCTACACGTCCACAAGGCCGCCGTAGCTCTCCCGATAACTCTATCGATATGGGTATTCCAAGAGAGACGATCATCCAGGGTTACCCCCAGATACTTCACCTCCCTCAAGTAACTAATACGTTCACCAAACAGAATTGGGCTCGTTAATCTGTCCCTGCTTCTGCGTCTGGTGAAGGCGACCAAAGTGCTCTTGCTTGGATTTATATTTAACTCAACGCCTTTGCACCACCTTTCCACAACACGTAAATTTTGCTATAGAAGATCAGAAATAGTGCTCTCAAATTTTCCCCGCACGACGAAGGCCACATCGTCAGCGTATCCCCAGACACGCGCCCCGGAGCCCCTGAGAGCAGCTATTAGATCATCCACTACAATGGACCACAGGAGGGGCGAAAGAATCCCGCCCTGCGGACATCCTTTTGCAGCGGAGATGAAGAGTATATCGTCAGCTATGGTGGACTTAATAATCCTATCCTGTAGCATCCGATTGACCCATCTGCTAGTCGTCGCATCAATCCCTCGTTTGTGCAACGACTCACAGATGACATAATATGGGGTGTTGTCAAAAGCTCCCTCTATATCAAGGAAGCAGCCAACTGCTACCTCCCGCACTTCCAGTGAGTTTTCAAGGACCCCCACCAGACTCTGCAGAGCGAGTACAGTAGACCTTCCCGACTGATAGGCGTATTGAGATTCATGCAAGGGATTGCTTCCCAGTGCACCGTCCCGTATAAATCTATCAATCACTTTTTCCATTGCTTTTAATAGAAAAGAAGTAAGGCTGATTGGACGGAAAGACCTTGGGTGGTTGCTTGGTCGCTTACCCACCTTCGGAATATACGTCACTTTAGCCACCCTCCATGCCTGAGGGATGTAACCCCACGCATAGCTGGCGCGAAAAATTCCCAACAGTGCTCTAGCGATATGTTGGAAACCCCTCTGCAAAAATGCAGGATATATCCCGTCATCACCTGGAGATTTGAAGGGCCTGAAAGAGAAAACAGCCCATCTAATCCTGCCCATCGCGAAGACTAGACGGGATCGTTGCCAGTCATCTCTCCTGGGCCAGGGTGCCCCCGGTTCGATGACTGCATTTGAGTGATTCCGAAGAATCTCCGAGTCAGGAAAGTGCGTTGACGCCATAAGCTCCAACGTCTGCCTTCCGTTCTCAGTCATGGAGCCATCAAGACGTTCCATTAGGCCCAACCTACTAGCATACTTTTTGGAAAGCACCCTGTGAAGACGCGCACTGCTGGGGAGTTCATCAATGCCCTTGCAGAACGCCCTCCACGAGATTCTCT